CCCTTCTCATCTCCATCAGATTCACCGTGTTCATCAATGATGCTGCTTAAATATGTAAAGGTTTTCACATCTTCCAAATCTTCTCCGTCAAGTGTGATTGGATTGGTGCATGCTGTGTTGATTTCATCTTCCGCTTAGATCTAGTTTTTTCTCTCCTATATTAGGTTGTTGCTGATAGTGTTTGGCAAACGGACCCGAAGTATTATGCGCAGACAATATTTAATCGTTTGATTTTTCCACAGTGATCCTTATAGTTGCTTTGTTTCCGTATACGATCGATCCTTACGGAATTCAGACTGTTGATCTCGAGGTTGTGCGTCGACGGAGTCCTTCATTCTGTTTAACAATACCCTGTTGAAGACTTGTCCTGTTATTGAGAGAAGAGTGATGGTTGTACTATAAACAATGGACAGATCAGACAAGTGGATTCCATCACGTTGTAGCGTGGTGTCGTGTCTTAGTTGACTATGAACACCACTAAAATGAAACACCTGCCAAATGAATGAGAAGGCGAATGCGGATTAGAACCAAGTTTATTTCGTTGGCGATCTCGTGGTATCGAGTGAATGCCGAGATCGTACGAAGAAAAGGCACAAGCGTAATCGGCAGTGGAATGTACGCGCGATCAGGGTCACGAACCGCGAAACAGTAATGGAGAATAGTGGAAGAGCAATATGACTGCCTTTAGCACAGTTAAACAAACGACCACAGTAAAATAATCATTGGTACGATTGGCTATAATAATAATTGTTTCCATTAAATCAGTCGCCTCCTCTTGATAAAAGTAGGTCATTACAATGTCGCGAAACGTCAGCAATACGATCTATGGTGACATGTATATTCAGTGATTTTTGTAACAAGAAAAATAAAAACCCCATTTTTCTCTAATTTGTCACACTTTATTTGTAACCACATTTTTATTCAATATCTGTTGTTTCGCTGTACCACTTGTTAAAAAGACGATGATAATTGTTTCGATGAATGATATACGATTTCACTACCGCGTTGTTTAAAATATAGAACACTATCTACGCCGTTTGTTCTTCTGTTTTATTGGCCACCGTTTTGATTGAAGACTATAATAGTATCATAACATCATTATAGGCCTTCCGACTCAACGTTGGACTCTTGGCGCGGATTACTATTGTATAATACTATTGGACTCCGTCTTCTTCATTACGTCATTGGTGCAGTCACTTGCAGAGGAACACCTGTCAATCAAGTGAACTCAGTTTGTGGTCGTTGTTCTCACGAGGCAGTTCACAAGTAACATTCATTCTATAGTAACTGTTAATGTCTGTTTGCTTAATATACATTTTGTATTGCTAACGGTATTTTGTTATCTTTGTTTTTACTAACGGACAGACATCTAGGTTTCTTTACTATCAATTTTTTGGTATATCATTATTAACCTAGTGTATCAATATATTTTGTGTAAGCTCCTTTTGTTTAGGAACCACCACAAATTTGGTGAGCCCGTAAATTTTTTCTCTCTCGAAACTACTTTCGAGTTCACTTACAGACATTACGGCGTTATTTTACCCTTGGTAGTTTTTAATTTTTCGTATATTTGTAATGTACTCATCCAAAACTGAAGGCATTAGTCAGGATAACATTTTAGCAGAACTACACGTTGTAAATTTGATAAATGTGCCTCCATTCAGTCGAATAAATCCTCGCATTTGGTTCGCGCAATTAGAAGTACAATTTCAGCGTCGGAACATACGCTCACAGGCATCTAAATACTCTTTTGTGCTAGGATTACTACCCACTGAAGTTGCATCTGAGGTGTCAGATTTTATAGATAATATTCCTGCATCTAATCCATATGATCAATTGAAGCAGGCAATTATTCAACGTACCTCATCGGATGAAAAGAGATTACAGCAATTACTGCATGAATGTGAGCTAGGCGACAAATCACCGTCTCAATTATTACGACACATGATACAATTAGCTGGCCCTTACAAATTTGATGACGCTTTCCTCAAGGAGATTTGGCTACAACGTTTGCCAACTGTAGTTAGGCAAATTCTTTGCGCTTCTAGCCAACCACTAGCTTTAGAAAGTCTTGCTTGCACGGCCGATAAAATTTTAGAAGTTACACCCTTTACTATACCTAATGTACCGACAATATTAGAAACTTCGAACGATAAGCGAACTCCCACCATAGCATCGTTAACTGCTGAACTAGGCGAACTACGAGCACATCATATACGAACTGTCGCCAGTCTTGAAAATAAACTGGATGCATTACAATTATTAATCTCCAATTTCACATCTACAAGACCTCGCTCTAGTTCTCGAGGGAGTAAGAATCGAGATAACTCAAAAGGTAATAAAAACGACGACAACATATGTTGGTACCATAAAACATATGGTGACAAAGCTAGGAAATGTATTACGTCTTGTAAATTTTTCAAGTCATTTTCCTCACCAAAACCTGTCAACCAAACCATGGTAGCGACAAATGTTTCTGGCGATGCGCCTACTCGTCTTTTCCATGTTCTTGATAAAACTTCAGGGTACAAATTCTTAGTAGATACTGGAGCGGAAGTCAGTGTCATCTCAGTTACCTTAGCCAATAAACCTATTGCTAAGAGTGGAAAATATACGCTAAGGGCAGCTAATAAAACCGAAATAAAGACATTTGGCGAACAATTTCTAACATTAGACTTGAAAATTAGACGTAATTTAATCTGGGTGTTCATTATTGCGGATGTCCGCCGCCCTATACTAGGTGCAGATTTTCTAAGTTTCTACAACCTACTAATTGACGTTAAGAGAAGAAAACTTATCGATTCCTGCACGAACCTTCAAGTCCAGGGAATTCAGTCGGACTACCACATACATAGTATTAAAATTGACACCCCAGGAAACGACATATTCGCCACTATTTTATATAAATTTCCAAAAATAACGAAACCGGACTACAGTGAAAACACGGTCCGACATTCTGTAGTACACCGGATCATCACAAAAGGTCAACAAACTTCGGCACGTCCACGCCGATTACCACCGGACAAACTGAATGTTGCAAAGGCTGAGTTTGATCATATGATGCAGCTAGGTATAATAGGTCCGTCAAGTAGTCCTTGGGCATCCCCACTCCACATGGTGCCCAAGCGAGACCAAGATTGGCGACCTTGTGGTGATTATAGGTCACTGAATAACATAACGTTACCGGATCGCTACCCAATCCATCATTTACATGATTTTTCTCTCACTTTACATGGGAAGCAAATTTTTTCTAAAGTCGATCTTGTGCGAGCGTATCACCGGATCTCAGTAGCATCCGAGGACATTGCAAAAACACCCATCATTACTCCATTTGGTTTGTTTGAATTCCTAAGAATGCCTTTTGGATTAAAGAACGCCGCATAAACATTTCAACCATATATGGATGAGGTCACTAAAGGCCTAGATTTTGTTTTCGTGTATATTGATGATGTATTAATAGCTAGCAGTTCTCTCCATGAAGTCGCTGATCACCTAAATCAATTATTCGAAAGATTTCAGAAATATGGCATAGTGATTAGCCCGTCCAAATGTATTTTTGGAGTTTAGAGTTTAGAGTTTTTAGGTCACTTGATCGACAAACGTGGAATTAAACCTTTGGATACAAAAATAGAAGCCATCAAGAATTTTCCAGAACCAGGCTCATGGAATAAACTTCGACGTTTCTTGGGGATGATCAATTTTTATCGTCGCTTTATTCCACATTGCTCAGCCATTCTACAACCTTTGACGGAGGTGTTAAAAGGTAAAGTCAAAAAGTTCACATTACCCTCCCAAGCGAAAGATGCCTTTTCTGCAGCTAAAACAGCAATCGCTTCTACTACCATGCTGACCTACTTAAGCCCTGACCCGGAAGCAACACTAATCCTGTGTACAGATGCATCACAGGCAGCAGTAGGTGCAGTACTACAACAGCGGGTGAATAATGAGGTCAAACCACTTGCCTCTTTTCAAAGAAGCTAGAACCAACCCAAACTCGATATAGCACTTTTGGTAGAGAACTTTTGGCTATTTATCTAGCTGTTAAACATTTTAATCATTTACTGCAAGGCAGAGACTTTGTGATACTTACTGATCACAAACCCTTAACCTATGCCTTCAACGCGAAAAGTGACCGTTATTCCCCTAGAGAAATGCGACAATTGGATTATATTTCCCAATTTTCGACCAACATACAGTTTATAAAAGGTGAGTCAAATGTTGTTGCAGATACTTTATCACGTTTCAATGTCGATGCAATTTCCTTCACCAAAGGAATCGATTTATTAGACATGGCACGTTTGCAGACAGATGATCCTGACCGTGATGCTTGTAAACAAAGTTCGAGTTTGTCCTTAAAAAGTGTTCCTATACCGCATTCTGACCCTACTATCATTTGTGATACTTCTACTAGAACGCACAGACCTTTTGTGCCAATAGTGTACAGAAAAAGAGTTGTTGATTGTCTTCACTCACTATCGCATCCAGGGATTCGTGCTACTGTGAAACTGATTGCCGAAAGATTTGTTTGGTCAAAGATGAATGCAAATATAAAAAAATGGACCAGGACTTGTGTACAATGTCAGCGCAGTAAAATACATAGACATACGATTACAACACCGTCAGCATTTAGTCTACCCGATCATCGTTTTCTACATGTTGATGTTGATTTAGTTGGTCCTCTGCCTCCATCTAACCGATTCACTTACATTTTTACTGCAGTGGACCGTTTCACTAGATGGCCAATTGCATGCCCAATAAAAGATATCTCCGCGGAAAATGTTGCTGCTGTATTCCTCGACAGATGGATTGCTAATTTTGGTGTACCTTCTACAGTTACTTCTCACAGAGGTTCACAGTTCCAATCTCACCTCTTCAATGAATTTACCCGCATTTTAGTAATCCATCACATCACTACAACAGCATACCATCCAGCAGCGAATGGACTGGTGGAACGATTCCACAGACAACTAAAAAGCTCATTGATGGTACAACCTGATGTTTCTAGATGGAGTGAATCTCTACCTCTTATTTTACTAAGCATACGTTCCACAATTAAAGAACACCTACAATGTACTTGCTCGTCTATGGAATTAATTTAACTTTACCGGGGGAGCTAGTGACGCATAATGGCAAACCTGTATGTACGGATCCCACTTCTTTTTGCGAAAGACTAATGAGCCATATGAATAACATTAAGCCTGTTGCACCTCGGGCAGTTGTCTTAAAAGAGCAAGTTAGCAAGCATCTAGATACGTGTAAATTTGTATTTGTTCGTGTTGACTCCGTAAGACGTCCTCTACAACATCCTTATGAAGGACCATATGAAGTATTTGAGAGGCAAACAAAATATTTCACAATCAATAAGAACGGAAAAAAAGAAACAGTTTCGATTGACAGGATAAAACCTGCTCTTATAGAATCTGAAACACATGACAGCCGAAAGCCGTCTAAAGACAACGGCAATCACACAACGCAGCTTCCAGTGTTTCCAAATAATTCTTCATCAACTCCTACGAAATCAATACTTCGTAAAACAGACGGTCCTAAGGTTACAGCTCCCACAAATTTAAATCCTTGATCCGACACTTTACCTACTACGAAAACAACTCGTTCAGGAAGACATGTACATTTTCCTAAACGGTATGTTGAATTAATTACTTAATATTTATTCTGTCATTACCTGTAATGTGATTAAATATCTATATTAACATAGTTACTAATAACATTTTTTTGCAAGCATTTTTTTCTAAAAAAATTATTGTGTACTACTAATATTGATAAATTCATTATGTTTTTCTCTACATGTGTATGCGTTTCACATGATGTTTATTATTAATTGTGCAAATATATTCAATTTCGTTGGACTCGTTCAGTTTATCACTAATTGTTTACCTAATTTTTACATGTATTTACACTTTTGGTGAAGTCTCAATTTAATTACCGTTATTACTAATAATACTATTATTATTATTATTATACACTCCGTTATTGTTGTTAAACTTTTCATATACACTAAAATCTCTTTAATACAAGAGAAACATTTTGTTCTTGAATATATATACACGTATGATTTTTTTTAAAATAACACTTGTTTCCCCTTTTCGTTGTGTACTTTTCTCCTCTCTCCAAAGCATTTAGAGTTTTACGTCGGGCATAGTTCCACCGACGCATGCCCTAAGCGAAGAGTTATATGGTGAAATATATTCAGTGATTTTTGTAACAAGAAAAATAAAAACCCCATTTTTCTCTAATTTGTCACACTTTATTTGTAACCACATTTTTATTCAATATCTGTTGTTTCGCTGTACCACTTGTTAAAAAGACGATGATAATTGTTTCGATGAATGATATACGATTTCACTACCGCGTTGTTTAAAATATAGAACACTATCTACGCCGTTTGTTCTTCTGTTTTATTGGCCACCGTTTTGATTGAAGACTATAATAGTATCATAACATCATTATAGGCCTTCCGACTCAACGTTGGACTCTTGGCGCGGATTACTATTGTATAATACTATTGGACTCCGTCTTCTTCATTACGTCATTGGTGCAGTCACTTGCAGAGGAACACCTGTCAATCAAGTGAACTCAGTTTGTGGTCGTTGTTCTCACGAGGCAGTTCACAAGTAACATTCATTCTATAGTAACTGTTAATGTCTGTTTGCTTAATATACATTTTGTATTGCTAACGGTATTTTGTTATCTTTGTTTTTACTAACGGACAGACATCTAGGTTTCTTTACTATCAATTTTTTGGTATATCATTATTAACCTAGTGTATCAATATATTTTGTGTAAGCTCCTTTTGTTTGGGAACTACTGTGTAATAGCGAGTTGGCTACTCTATATTCTACCGATTGACAAGCTTCAGATATCCCAGTTCGACCACAATACTGTTCCCAATCTCCAATATATCAGAACACGAACCGTAGATGAAAAATCGTTTATGGGATCAGGAGCAGCAGAATAATGATTTACAAACAAATGCATATTTATACAGTTAGGATTACTATAAATATTGACCAACAGAAAGATGACTCGTTAAATAACATTGACCAATAGGAAAATGACACGCGAAATAAATATTGATCAGTAGGGAAAAGACCAATAGGGAAACGACACCATTTAACGTTCAAGGGTAGCGTTAGACTTAACCGGATAATTGTATTTGGGATATTTTTCTGGGTATCCCAATACCTCCCCTTTGGAGAAATTAATAGCGACGTAACCGGGGGTTTACTTGAAGTTTCTTTGGGTGTCTTCTTTTGCGATCCGACCTCCGAGGCAACCACACAGAACCAGACGGATGTTCCACTTGAGTGGGACGCGTTTTGTAATTGCTTCTTTCTCCTTCGCTTCCCTTGACCTGAGTTGATTGTGGTGCCTGGTCCAGATTTCTTGGTTCACTTTGACATCATACATGACGTCCCCATGTTTTTTTGTGATTTCACCCTCTACCCATTTATCACATCCATGTCTATAATCTCGCGCATACACTTTTGTACCAACTTAGTAGGGAATTCGAGTATTCTTCATCTGGGGGCTTTGCTGGGCCACTTGCTTTGGTTTCATCGCACCATGAACTGTCCGTTGCTTTCGCCCCATAAGCATCTCAGCAGGGGATTTGGAGTTTGTCAATAAGCCATGCGGGGTCGTCCGGTACGCAACTAGAAATCGTTCTATGATATCTTCTGTGGTCCCCTCTCCTCGTGCTTTAAGCATGGCTCGTTTAAATGTATCAACGAACCTGTCAGCTTGCCCATTAGATTGCGGGTGATATGGCGGAGAACGAACATGGTTGATCGAATTTTGCAGGCAAAATTCTCGGAATTGGCTAGATGTGAATTGTGACCCATTGTCTGTTACTATTGTTTCTGGAAGACCATGCTGAGCGAAGATCCGATTAAGGAGTTTGATGGTTTGAGTTGTAGAGGGTGGCGCAATCGGCAATATCTCCGGCCATTTGGAGTAGGAGTCAACCAGTATCAGACATGTGGTGCCATCTAGGGGTCCGGTGAAGTCAATATGCACTCGCGACCAGGGTTTTTTTACTTTGGCCAGGGTACTGGAGGAAACTTAGGAGGATTTTTCGCAGCTTTTTGACAATGTGAACATCTTTTGACGAAATCGGCAATCTCCTTGTCTACATTCGACCAATATGCATAGCTGCGAGCGATTGATCTCATACGGTTTATCCCTGGGTGTCCAGAGTGGAATTGGCGTAGGACTTTGGAACGTAGGGTTGTTGGAACTACTACGCGATCACCAAACATCAGACAATCGTTAACAATACAGAGAGCGCTGCGACGATTCGCTAGTTGTTGCATATCACCACTCAGCTGCTTAACTGGCCATCTGCTCTGAACATAGGTGATCGCTTCTTGGATAATCGGGTCTACTCTGGTAGCTTCCCGAACATCTTCAGCGGTAACAGGCATTGCTCGAACGGCATTCGCCAATAGTGTAGCACCGGAATCCTCTTCTGTTAATATTATGGCTATGAGTGTGTCCTCATCAGTGGTAGAATGATTACTGATAAGTCTGGACAGTGCATTCGCTTGACCAAAATCTTCGGAACGTCGATACTGGATGTCGAAGTCGTACCCCAGTAACGCCAACGTCCAACGTTGAAGACGATTAGCAGAATGGGCAGGAATGCCTTTCCTTGATCCAAAGATTAATAACAAAGGCTTGTGTTTTGTGAGCAAGGTGAAACGGCGCCCGTAAATGAATTTGTGGAATCGCCGGACAGCAAAAATTAGGGCTAACGCTTCCTTCTCTATCTGGCCGTAGCGTTTCTCAGCAGGTGTTAGTGTTCTCGAAGCGTGCATCACCGCTTTCTCTAACCCGTCGGGAAAGACATGTGAGAGTACGGCACCGAGTCCATGTGTTGAAGCGTCAGCAGCAACCACAATGGGTAGTTTCGGATTGTAGTGGGTTGGCAGAAGATTGGAACTTAGCATGGCTTTAAGTTTTGAAAAGGCTGACTCACATTGCGTTGACCAATTCCAAGTAGCATTCTTTTCTAGCAGACGATTCAGTGGATATCGTACGTCATGCAGTGATGAAAGAAATGCTGAATAGTAGCTAATCATTCCCAAAAATGATCGGAGTGAGGAGACATCAGTGGGAGCAGGCATTTGTTGGATTGCGTAAGTATTTTGAGGATAAGGGTGTCGTCCGGAAGCATCAAAGATAAACCCCAGGTATTTAACGAAACGTAAGAAGAATTGGAATTTTTCTGGACGCAGGCGAAAACCATTATCCTGGAGGCGTTGCAGAACTAAGTGAGTTCTGGTATGCAATTCACCAGCAGTTGAGCCGACGATGAGCACATCGTCAAGGTATGTAGCAACACCAGGAACATCTGCCAGAATAGTGTCCATGATCTGCTGGAAGATCGCGGGAGCAGTTTTGATACCGAAGGGTATCCGGGTATACTGATAACGTCCTCGGTGAGTGTTGATTGTCAACAACTCTCTCTCTGACCATTGATTGAGAGGGTCAGAAATTTGCGTCGAGTCGCGGCATGAGTGTGGAAGACTGCTGCTAAACTCTTTATGAGGTAATCGGCGTTTTGTGAAAACGACGCTGCGTCTGTGCATTTCGACGGTTATTGGATCGGTTGGATTTGCAAAAGCCGCTTTTGTGACCAACTTTCTTACAGCGATCGTACACATGCTGGTTGAATGTACAGAACTTCACATAATGCCAGGCTCCATAGTGCCAACATGGCGAGGGGGGCTTCTTCTGAGCCGGTTTAGAGTGATTAGAGATAGAAACAGCGCTGGCGTTCGAAGGACTCGAGTTTGTCGATCTCGAAGATTTTTTCTGGTGCTGCACAGCATGAACTTCGGAACCACCCTGGCTCCCAGATTGGACCAAAGTGGGGTCACGCTACAGAGTGCTGATGCGCTGGTTCTCGTCTATGATCTCATTGAGTGTCAGTGTTGAATCTTGTACAAGGCGGTTAAGCAACCGAGTTCTGATGTCGGAGAATTTGGGTGACTGAAGACTGCATATGAGTATTAGGGACTTGAATTGGTCTTCAGTGAGGGATCTGAGCTTGAACCATTCGCAATCACGGTTAACAACGCCGACGTGGGTCAGGGAGTCATCAGATTCATTAATGATTCATTAATAACGATTGTGTGGGTTCTGCGGTAGAATGAAGTTGCAATACTTATCCAGCTCGGATGGACCAAGTTTACGAAGAAGAAGACGCACCTTCCACGAATCATCTCTATCAGCAAAGTCAACTTTGAAAACGTCTTCATAACGTCTGAACCAGGTATCAAATGTAATGTTGGTATCAGGATCATAAAGAAATTCTGAAATACCACTGGTAATACCATCAACTAATTCAAGAAATGTCGGTGTAGTCGGGACTCGAGAAGATATGTGCGTCTGAGTAATCATCTCCATCAGATTCAGCTGCAGTTCGAACAATTTTTTTAATTTAGCTAGATCCATAGTTAATCACCAACTTGTTGCTAAATCTCCGTCGCCAAATTATTGTGTAATCGCGAGTTGGCTACTCCATATTCTACCGATTGACAAGCTTCAGATATCCCAGTTCGACCACAATACTGTTCCCAATCTCCAATATATCAGAACACGAACCGTAGATGAAAAATCGTTTATGGGATCAGGAGCAGCAGAATAATGATTTACAAACAAATGCATATTTATACAGTTAGGATTACTATAAATATTGACCAACAGAAAGATGACTCGTTAAATAACATTGACCAATAGGA